TCCAGTGGCGTACGTGGGAGTACATTCTGGCATCCGAATTCATGCGAGTTGTCTCGACAGTATCGTCTGACTCCGCTTTGAATAGGGTAGAGCGCATCACCAGTGGAATTTTGACTCTCTCTGCACGCTCACAAAGCAGGTGTCTCCAGGTAACCATACCCGACGGCCTGGGTTTTTGTTGAAGAACTTCGTCTCCGGCCACGTGTTCCAAAATAGAATCGCCGTGGAATCGACTGTACGCAACATTGAGTCATGCCCTCCGATGGACTCCAGGGCAATTTGGCGGCCTGTCTAGCGTGTTCTCCGTCCAAGTCTCGTAGGAAGAAGGCGTACGAAAGAGGAAGCCCGAGAATGTGTCGAGGAGCCAAAACCAAGTATGCCACGCTTATGCCCAGCCAAAATTGAGCGACCCAAGCCCAATTGTGTCCCACAGCAGACCTCGTGGCAGCCACAAGCACGGGTGTTCAGGTCCGGCCACGTGGAACAATTGAGGATAGCGGGACTGTTTGCTGCTAGTGGTAGCAAACATGAACTCTTTTTGCTGAAAATACGAGAATGGGCTCGTCGGCGGCACGAAAAGTGGGAAGTGACTGAGAGCGGGACACGAAGCGGGCTGGCCCATCTGTCGCATGGGAGGGGTGGCTGCATGCAACACGAACCATGTGCAGAGTTAAGATGCAGACACGGGAACTCAGGTGAGGCCGGTTCAGTTGGCGACGGTATGTGGACCGCCAAACTCGCTTTGTAAGAGACGTTCACAGATCAGGCTTCGTATTAGCAGTGGCGGGCAGAGGTCAAGACTTCCTGGGGGCCGACGCAGCCTGCTGCGGTTGGAGGTTCGCAGGAGTGAGCACGTTTGAGTTCTGCCCGATTCCAGATACCGGGTTGGCACGGAAGAGCCTTCACAGTGGACTAATGTTGCGTTCACATCCTTCTCCTGCGCCCATGTTGTTCGGGCCTGAAACGGTTACAGCTGCCTGATGCTGTATCCCTGCAGAGCATAATCAAATAGGTTCAGGTGGTGTACCTGGCCCCCGGGGATTCTGCCTTCTTTGCGGTGAAGTTGCCGGCCTTAGAAAGAGAGAGTTACGTGAGGGTTAGGGCTCCCGAGTTGCAACCAAGGTCAGCTGATGTGCTGGGCTGGAATGAACAATATCCGTTAGTACATTTGGTAGATCAGACCCCGACCGTTAGGGACACAACCTTAGCATTGAAACTGAGCAAGTTGTCCTAGACCGACCAGAGGGAGCGAAACAAGAAGGCTCCTTTGCTGGCTTGCGTACTCGTAGGACCGCGGAGTTGAGGCCATGCCAGATTAACCAAATGTGGGAAATGGACTCACCGCATGGAAACGAATAAGAGAACGACGCAGCTCGTACGACGGAGACGCTGAATGGGGCAGCACCTGGTGAAGCAAAGCGCAGTGCGGACATCAGCGCTAGATTGTCACCGGCTCGCGCTCGGGCCGGCGAATTTTCTCTTCAAAAGTGGGGGATAAGTGAATCGCCAGTCAGTGTCCGAGTGAATCAGAAGTGAATCATTGGAGCGCGCACAACGAGATGCAGGACTGGGTGCCAATGTCGTGTTTCTGTCTGCAGCCCTTTGTGCGCGTCGGACGCACTAGCCGTGATGAGCTGCTGGTTGCCAACATCGAGTCCGCCATCGCCTGCACGTTTGATTCCACAATTTCCCCTTCCCGTCCTTGACATCATCGTGCCATGCCGCTGGCTCGCTTCAGCCCTGTCCAAGACCGTTGACGAAGCCGTTGACCAACTCGGCAGTGCGACGTTGGCAGCGGAGTGGACCCGATTGAAATTAAACTGCTTCGATTGTGGGCCTGGAATGTTTCTCGAAGCGCACTCGAAGGGAGCCAGCTCAGCCATGGAGTCGCAGCCGACAATGCCTTGTTTGATTGCGATATGGCTGCAGCGTGATTCGCCATCAGCCCGCAGTGGCCCCTGACAAGTGGCATTCCCCTTCCACGTGGCCTCCCTGGTCGAGCGGACTGCTTAGCCTCATATGTCTTGAACCCCTAGTCTACTGACCAGGTGCTGGTATGCCTAGCCTAAAGTGCTCCCCTGGCTTGACCAGGCTCCCAAAACTGAAGCTTGTCGTCTGCTCGACTCCAAGAATGGGGCAAGCGCCCATTGGTTCGAGATTGGGAATGCCCTTTTAGCTCGTTTCATGTTGGACTGACGATCATAACGTCCAATATGACCTCAGACTGTCCACCCGCGGGACGCTTCAAGATCAGCCTGACGGTCCCGACTCACGGCCGCGGCCAGGACGTTCTTCGACCGGAAATTGACAGTCCCTCAAGCACTACGCCTCGAAGAGCGTCGTCATGATCCATCATACTTGGACTGGCCATCAGCCCCGCATTGACACGAATGAGGACTACTGAGTACGTATTTGTTGTAGACTTGTCGACCTATCAGATTGGCTCGACTTGGTCTGTGTGGTTCTTGGTTGAGGACTTATTGGCTTCTCCTGCGCCATCCTAGGTACTCCGCGACCCAAGACTCGTATCTCGTACACGATGGAACCAACAACAGCGAGGAACCGAAGGGCCATCTCAGCCTGGGCACCGGAAAGTGTCCGGTGGCCTTCCCACAACTTTACAAGCCTGGAATTTTCCGTGCCACACAACTGGCCGTCTCATAGGCCTCTACCCCTGCATGCACTCCGCGACTCGGAGGAATAACTTAGAAGCTTATGAGTGAGAGGTGCGCTTTGCAGTCTTCCACGGCGTACCGGCACTGAGAGTTTCAGATGCCATCAAATCATAACGCCCATCTCGCCTGACGACAGGTTTTTGAACTCGCGTCGCCTGCACAGTAGATCTGCCTATTCACCACTCATCAGTCACTGTTCAGCTACTCCTCAGGTGGTACCGACAAGGGTCTGTTCCTCGAAATAGTTGACACGTCCGGACCTGCGGAGGAACAGGCCGTGGCGACTTGGGTGACTGCATGATCATCCTCGCTAAGGGTGGTCACAAACCTTTGGGAGAGCCTCACAGGCACGTTGCTGCACATCCGTTGATCATGAACGTTACTCGTACCGGGGTCTTATGAGGCAGAGGTGAGGAGGGGCAACCTCGCTGCGTCAACATGCTGAATTCCTGTCAAGTCAGTCTGAGGGCAAGCTGATCGAATTCTCAGAGCATGCACGGCGTGGGCTAGTTGAACTCTGCCAAAGCCATCGTTCACTAGAGGTATCTCCATCAGTCGTGCTCCTAAAAATATGGGCTTGCTCAGAGTGCTTTCTGCCAGTCTACCGAGCAGCGCCAGGACGAGTACTGTGTACCGTCCCCACGTAGTGACATGTCGCCCTCTAATTCGAAAGCCGCTCTGTCCTTGAGGCTTTCACATGTACCGCCAAAACCCACTAGGACCTAGTTGTACGAGCTCTATCAATGCGCATTGCCTATTCCCATCGAGCGGTCTGCACAACCTGTGTTTGCGACCCCGCGCTTGGGTATTCTTCATTCCAATCGAAAGTGCCACTAAAGAGGCAGCCTGCAGCTGGATTAGGCACCGAGCAAGTCGCAGCGTATAGTGAGTTGAGCAGAGGATTTAGCTGCAGCCGTGCCATGTGGGGATGGAAACATTCCTTGAGGCAATCATCCGTGTCACCGTGACAAAGTGCTGCTGATGAACAAGGCTCTGACATGCTGCCGGGCCTCGCTTTGGTTCGATCGAGGCAGAAGCAACGCGAGATGTGAACGTCTATCGTCGACATTGGGACACCACATGCTTGATAAAAACAGTATCGTGTCAATTCTTGAAACGCTTGCTGATGGCAGTATGTAGTCTAATGTCCATCTGGTCCCCGTGTGCGGTGCGTCCAGGGACTTCTGAGGCGTGCCAAAAAGCTTGCCCCATCTTCCTCACCCACGCCCAAAGCCCGTGGCTGCCGGTTTGGCGGCTGTCGCGGGATGCTTCTTGCTGCCACCACGTCCGTAGTGAGTAATGCCTCTCAATAGCAAGCACGCGTTATGGGGGAGCAGAGCAAGCCGACTTCTCCGGGTCCAACTGTCACCCCAAGCTTATGAACTTCACCATTTTACGTTGACTTTTCAATTCCGTCTATCGTCTGGAGTGTCGGCCTTTGGAATACTTGCCTCTTACCACACACAAGATAATTCCCTCGTATTCTTATTCCGCACTGCCATCCCGGCAGATCCTCATTTATGTTACGTTTCCCCGACTGAAACTGAAGAAAATTTCCATCGATTGGATTTCTCTCCGCGGCCACGCGCTCCGTCACCCTTGCCACCTCAGCTCACCGATACCGCTCTGCTTCAGTCATCACGGGGTGCCGCATCACGCCTCACGCCCTGAGCGGCCTCTTCTCGAAGAAGCAGCAGTCCCTCTCTTCCGACCACAAAAGGGTCTGAGCAGGGCTCCGTTCGGGCTCAACGAGACCATCCCAGGCAGATTTGAGCATTAGCTTTGCCCTGAGTCCACAAACTTGGCCACCTAGAAGTTTCTGAGACGATAGCAGTGGAGATCACTTCCAGTTCAAACCATCGTGCAAGGCCTCTGGTGTGCTCGCCAAAGCGTACGCCTAACTTTATCTGCGTCGTCTGCCCTGTCAGCAACCTCCTGGCGGGCCTTGTCACGACGTCTTGGGTGTTTGGGTGACGGGGTCCCAAGGCGCAACCGACCTAAGTGGCCCGGAACGAACATTTCTCGAATTGCAATCCATACCCACTTTGACCCCCCTGCCAGGGCCACTTCTTCCACTTGACCAGGATCTTGCTTAGCTTGCGGCTTAAGTGGCTCCACTGTCCTCGTGGTCTCGTGGTGAAGCAATCCCGGCTCTTCGTGGGTTGTGGGCTGGCGCCCCGTTGGTGCTTCTGGCACACTACTACTGTCGACCGCCAGTCCTGCTTTTCTGGCCCTCAGCGAGTCGCCGCCCAGTACGGGTGCGATGCTGTGCGGAACCTGTCCAAATCCTGAACATCTTTACCCGCGTGATTTCCAGTCTTCTCCATGTCCGACTCAAACGATGTGACAGTTGACGAGCCTATGACTTCGGCGACTCCTCCAAATTTACCTGCCCAAGTTATCTTGTCCAGCACTGCTCAAGACACTCCCACCATCGTGACTTCGCCTCGTACAAATCCGACCCGCCCCCCTCACCACCACCATTCAAGTTCGACCAGCCTCACGCAGAGCAAAAGTAGACGATCGCTGGCATCGCTGGCTCGCGAGAAGACATCCAGCGCTTTCGCCAATTTGGCTTCCTTGGGCACGAATTCGACGCCTAGTCTGCGCTCGGCCACCTCGTCTGGGAGCCTGTCCAAACATTCCTCATCTTCGGGGGGTTTGCGACCAACCCTGCCGCGTTCACCAACGTCTCCTGAAGTGCAAGTTGCCGCACAGTCGCGGAGAACAAGCGGAGTGCCACCGCTCGCCAGTCAAGATCTACGACACAGTCTCGCCACCGCCCCTTCAATGCCGAATCAGGACCGGAGAGATGGCAAGATGCACCAGACATCTTCCAAGATCCTGCGCATGACCGACGACGAGAGACCTTTCACGAGAGATTTCCAAGACTTGTTCGCAACACTGATCACGAGTCTTCCGCTGACGCCCCATCGTGTAAGGTTCTCCAGGGTCGAAGAAACGTTCTTATCAGAAGAGGCAATCACCAACCTGGGCTCCCTGAAATTCTCGCAATCCAACCGGATACCCGACCCCAAGAATCCCTCCAGATGGGTCGTTACCACCACGACAACCACGTTCTCCATGGCCAAGGAAATGGCACGTTCGGTCTGCCAGCGTTTTGTAGACGCACGGCTGATTGAGTCTGCCGAGTCCAAGACCAACACAGCGTTTGTGACCAAAGGTGGTGTTTGGCAACTTACCCCCAAGGGCTCAGCAACCTTATATCGCTTCTGCAGCCGCAATGGCATCAATGCACGGCACATCGAACCGATCCTGCGACGGAGCCAGATGCAGATGGTTTCTTTGGAACGAGACCCTGCCACCGACAAGCTTGTACAGGACCGGCCGACGATTGAGATCATCTTTCGCAGATTCATGGGCTCGGAAGGTCCAAATCTAAAGAGCTCTACGTCTCTGTCTGACTCAGACTCCGTGTCGGAATATGCTACTGGACTCGTGGGCATCAAGATGGCCAAGGAAAGGAGGGTGTTGGACAAGCTGGTGAACAACACCTTCACTGGCAAAGCAGCCTCGGACTGGTTGCTCGACTGTTGTACCACCATTGATCGAAGAGAGACGTATGAGATGGCAGAGCTGTTCGTCAAGTGGCAATTGATGGTTCCTGTGTGTCAGCGCTGCTCCTTTCGACTAACCGGTAAGGGTCAGGTCTCCAGTCACAATGCTCGAGTAGGGGTATGGGGGATACGACACAGGGGCGAGGTATAGCAGACGGCTAGGTGTGACAAGATACTCAAAGGTGGGTCTGAGTAGATGACATGAGTTGGCTACGAAAGAGTGTAACTAGACTGTCTGACAAT